CTTCAGAGGACTTGCTTAGGTTGAGGAGGTGTTTGAGCATCAAAGGGTCTCGCCATCATAGCAATGGTCCAGGGAGTGTGTAGAAGCTCAACTCCAGGTGACTAGGGGAAGAAGCCTTGTAAAATAGGTGTCAGTACCTTGATGTGATCTAGGCTGTGGCCCTTCTGACTTAAAAGGTTGCTAAGGTGCCACCTTTTGATTCATCTCTGTCTGCCACTTATCAAGTGCAGGCCATTTAACCTTTCCAGGTGGGTTGTGTAAAGCTGGGTCTAATTGTGCTTGGCTGAATTCCTGCTTGATACCCAAGTGAGATGCAAGGCTGGCTATATAAAAACAACAGTAAATAATACCTACCTGTAGGCTAAAAGTGGAGACCTACCTTGTGGCTGAGGACTGACTGCAATTGTGGTAGCAGACAAAATGACAGTAGCTGAGGAGACCCTATAAGCTCATGACAAACACATCGCAGGACTGGAAAATACTGTTGTCCAAAGCAAGCCCTGGGAATGGAAGGAACATTAGGAATTGCTCTTCTGTCATCATAAACTCCTCACTGTAAATCACTGGCTATTGGAAATCTGGCTGTTGGAGACAAGACAATATTAAGAGAGCCAACAGTGGTGCATCTCCAGAGTCTTTTTTCAAGATCCCTCTTGCCACTCAGTAACATGGATAAATGCACATTGGAATCACTTCTTAAACATCTAGTGAAGAGCTCTAGATAGAGTATGGTGTGTTTAAAAGGGACATGGAAGGAAAAAGCAGATGAAGAACAGAAGGGTGTTTTTAAACTGCAATCTTTATAGCATTCTCTAAAAAGCTGTTGTTTCCATACAAGGTACAGGTTTGTTTTCTTTTTTTAAAAATAACCAAACCCTACCTGTCTACTGATTTTATATTTTAAAAACTTATTTACACAGTTACCACAAAGATAACATTTTTCATTGATGTTGCTTCAGGAGAATGAAGTTTCTGATGAAAACCTGTACTGTATTGCAAAGTTTGAGTTTTGTGGCAAGTTATGTTGAACTTCACTGAAGTTCAACATAACTTCCTCATGGAGCTTTTCAGATGTGCAAGATATTGTCCATAGTGTCATCTTGGATTTATGAAGTATAACGCATTAATTGACCAGATTTTGATAATGAATTTATTCTTTTTTTTTCTTTAGAAGATCTGTTAAATAGAGAAGAGCAGAAGATGCCTCCACGAGGAGGGGAGGTATAAAGCAGGCAGGTGTGACTCACCGGTGTGGACTCCTGGCAAAGGTGGCAATCTGGCAGTTTTGGTGGGTGTGTTTGTAATTTGTTTTGTCATTTTGCACTGCAATACCTTCATTGTCAGCTGCAGGTTCCTCTGTTAATCCAGTTGGACAAGAAAAGAAGCAGGCTGATGCCCAAAGTTATCCACCAGGAGGGGAGGTATAAAGCAGGCAGGTGTGACTCACCGGTGTGGACTCCTGGCAAAGGTGGCAATCTGGCAGTTTTGGTGGGTGTGTTTGTAATTTGTTTTGTCATTTTGCACTGCAATACCTTCATTGTCAGCTGCAGGTTCCTCTGTTAATCCAGTTGGACAAGAAAAGAAGCAGGCTGATGCCCAAAGTTATTTCTTCATGGGAAAACTCTGAATGAATCAGAGCACCCAAGTGCTGGTCCAACCCTGAGAGTGAGACTGGGGCACGATGGCAGCAGATGAGTGGTTGGATGCTCACCTGTGATATATTCAGGATCTCTGGCTGTGTGAATTTTGGTGGAAACAGGACCCAGACTTCTAAGAACAGTGAGTACTATCACAAAGCAACATTTCTCCAGAACTGCTTGAAAATTATCAGTGGTCTGTGAAATCAGTTAATTCATAATCTTAATGTACTTAATTGTTGAGGCTGTATTCACTTTGCACTTATTTCCTCAGTTTTATAGTCTCCTGATGTCTGTAGAAATAATGAACTATTTTAATTATCCTCTGATCCTTCTGCTTGTAGTAATTGGTCTCTAATCACAGCGTTGTCGTTTTTAAGGTCTGAGATTGTCTCATAGCTGAAGTTACTGTACAGATCATTCTGAGGGCGATCCCTTTAAAGACACAACTAATACCATTCTGTATAATTAAGAGCTTTAATTTTCATCCTTGCATGACCACATGAAGACTTTAAAGTCTCCTGCTGCAGCCTTTTTTAACTTGCTAGGTAGGAGTGGCAAGTGATCACATTATGGTGGCTTATTGAGCTTTAAGCTAGCAATGTGGCCATTCAAGCCCAAAGATTAACAGATTGGGTTCTGTAACAACAAATTTGATATATTTTATAAAAAAAGTTAAATCCACACGGTGTGAGTTTGTGGTGTTTGATTTGTCTGGGTAGCTATGGCAAGCCCAGTGTCAATTTTTATTTTCTACAATATGTGCTTGTAATATTTGTGCAGGATACCTTTCTGCATCAACTTAACCATAGTTTATCTTCTGGAAGACTGGAGAGGGCAAAGCTGTGACACCAGGTGATAGAGAACCCTTTGGCCAGAGACCTTGGGTCCACCAGCCTGGGGGTGTAGATCCCACAGGTTCTTGGGCTGCACCTTCTGCCAGAAACTAAAAGCAAAGAAGTGCCTGTAGTAGTGGAAAGAAGGGGGATAGTTTCGTAGGGTTTTACAAAACACTTTGATATTGAGCCAACAGAAGTCAGTGTAAGAGCTTTGCATTTAAGGCTATGAGACATTAACCAAATTAAGTTTAAAACTTTTAAAATAAGTGATGTTTACCTTTTTTTCCTGTTTTAAGAGGTTCTTTCCTCTCTCATAACCACTGTCTAGCCACTCGCTCCTCACTCTTTGAGAGCTTTGCCCACCCTGGGGTGCTGTGACCAAATGAGCTAGAGAAGAAGGAATCCCAGCTGGTGACCATCTCCTGAGCTGGGAGGGAGACACCTGAGGCTATGGACGTGTCCTCTTACTAGAAAGCCTCTTCTGTATGGAGGGGTTTTGGCAACTCAGCTGCTCGTGTGCCTGTGTCTTGATGGAGCAGAAACCTCTGGAGAAGAGGAGTTGTGTTTACAGCTTCTTAGAAAGGGAGGTGTTAATGGCAGCAGAGAGTTTATGATGAGATATATGTCATCTTTGGTCTAAAGTACCATAACTGGATGTTTTAGAGGCAGAGCAGTAGCTGCATGTGCTTTCACTTGGCCCTAGGTCAGCACGCCCAGGCTTTTTCCCTGAAGTGAGGGCGACTTGCTGCTGTTTTGCCCCGAGTTTCTGTTGCTGCCCTGGCAGGTCTGGGCAGTGGGGGGTGGCTCCCTGGTGAGTCAGGCAGCACCGACTGAGGGCGGAGTTTGAGCCCTGGGTACCTCCATCTGTCCCAGATTCCCACCTCCCTTAAAGGTAACAGCCCTAGGTGGAGCTGCACCAGGGATTGCATACAAAATGAATTTGAGTTAATTAATGGTGAATCATAATAAACTCAGGGATTCCCAGCTGGGAAATGGAATTAGGGCCACGGGCATACAATAAACATTTAATGTCTGAGATAATCAAGAAGAATTTGATGCAACCCTTTGCCTCAAACCTCAAGGTGTTTCCCAGCCACCTCCTGTTCTTTGGCAGTGTTGATTTGAGTCTTGTGGTTCACTTCTTACCCATTTTATTTCCTTAAAAGAGCACACATACCGTACACAAGGAATTCAGGAGGCTGGAATGAGGTCCTTTAGAGCTAGCTTTGAAATTCAGCGCATCAGCCTGGCTCTTCCCTTTATGGCCTTTTCATAATTAAGTAATAAACCTGCAGATCTCAAAATACAGTAGGGTGAACACATGCCCCAGATGAAAGGGGCAACCAGCTGTGTGCCTGGCCCATTGATGTTGTCAGAAGGTGAGAGCCTGGAGTTTCCTAGATAAGAAAACACATCTCTGCTCTGTCACTGCAGGACCCCTTCTGTTTCAGCATCCTCTGTCCTGATCAGCATGTATCAGGTGAAAGATTGAGTGGCTCCTATCAAAGTAGGGTGATATGATGAGCTTTTTCATGTGTGTATCTCCTGAAATCCAGCCATTGTCCTGCCTTGCCACTTGGCATTTGTTTTGTGCTTTAGTATTTTCACCCACCAGTTTTATGCATCTTATCTTTTTCTTTTTTTTAGTACATGGCTTAATCTATTTATACATCCAGTGATAGAACATCAGTGTCTCAATTCTTCTCATTCCACAGCAGCTCTTGCTTTTGCCTTGGACATGTATAGCACCTAATAATCAGATTTGATGTAGCACATTATTTTTCCTTCATTCCATTTACTGGGTTATTTTCCTCCAGCAAATATCGATGGCTGTAAAAGTTGCATCCCAGGGTATTAAGCTTTTGTTAAGGACCACGGGAAACTTCATGGCAAGAACCAAAGGTCTGGATCCTTCTGCAAAGCAAAGAACACTTCAGTCTGGTGCTTGTTTCTCAGATTTGGCTATTCAGGCCCCGAGGGCAGGCCTCAGCTGCAGAAGAGTAGCAGCAGTGAGCACAGTTTAACTCCCTTGAAAAGAGACCCACAGGCTGAGCTGCTTTAACAAGGTCTCCACCTTGCAGTTCACAGTAAATTATTAATGCAGTGACTTCCAGCATTGAGCAGATTTATCTTTTTTTTTTTTTAAGAAAAGATTCACAAGTCATTTTCCATAAAAAAGACAAATCTTTGGGATGGGTTTAGCTGCTTACTTACTAGCAACCAAACTGTGTTCAGAAGTTAACCCAGGGATGTCTAACCTTTAACCTGTCTTTTTTTCCCAGAGGAGGGCAGTGAATGTGAGGTGATGGATGTGAGGGTTGCCCACTGCCTGCTCCTCTGGGCCCTGCACTTCCTCCCAGCCTCACCACACACCACACTCAGGGTAAGTTTCTCTAGACCAGGTTGCTCAAAGCTTCGTCCAAGCTGACCTTGAACACCTCCAGAGATGGGGCATCCACAGCTTCTCCAAGCAACCTGTTCCAGGGCCTCACCACCCTCACTGTAAAAGATATCTTCCTCATCTTATCTCATCTGGGGAGCATGTCTTATGAGGAGGGGATGAGGGACCTGGGATTGTTTAGCCTGGAGAAGAGGAGGCTCAGGGGAGACCTCATTGTGCTATGTAACTCCCTGAAAGGAGGTTGTAGCAAGGTGAGGATTGATTGATAGGATGAGAGGAAATGGAGTTACCTTATGCCAAGGAAGGCTTAGATTGGATATTAAGAAGAATTTATTTCCTGACAGAGTGGTGAGGCACTGGAACAGGCTGCCCAGGGAGGTGCTGGAGTCACCATCCCTGGAGGGGTTCAAAAACCGTATAGATGAAGCACTTGGGGACGTGATTTAATGGTCGTGGTAGTGTTGGGTTGATGGTTGGACCTGATGAACCTTAATGATTCTATGATTCTAAATCTACCCTTTTTCAATTTAAAACCATTGCCCATGTCCTGTCACTGTAGGAGGAATTACTTTGAAGTATTCAGTGTGTTTAACAGGCCCAGCAACCTCCAGCACAGCTCTTGGAGTGTCAGAAACTTGCTGTTCAGCCTGGTCTTCACAGCAATAACAGTGCAATTTCCAAGGCACCATGTAGCCAAGCTTTGCTTCCATACTGGCAGGTTTTGGCTGGTTGTAGTTGGCAGACCCTTGGACCAGGCAATGATGGATGTTCTTCTGGATTGCACCTGGCTGTACAACACACACTTGCAGTCCCAGCAAGTGGTCCTGCCTGCAGGAGCCTGGTGCACTTACCTTGGGGTTGCTTCCCAATCAGGAAAGGAACAAAGCAGCTATTTTTATTTGCACAACTGTAGCTTTATCTTACAGCCAGAGTCATACAGATCATGTGTCCTTATCAACAAGTCACCTATTCTCATCAGCATGAGGAATACTGGAGAGCTTCAGCCTAATACAGACTTTTTGACTGAGGAGTAACTGCTGGAGGCATGTGCAACCCTGTCCACTAGCTCAGCATGTCTCTGCAGGAGAAGGGTGCAACAGAAGGCTTGACATACAGAGTCAAACTGTTGGTAGAGAATTCTCCATGATCTGTATGAACAAGGACTTGGGAGCTCTCATTCTGGACCTTGAAAAGACTTAAGGACCTCAAATGGATTATTTTGCCCTTGGAAATGACCTTTTTGGTTTATGCCAAGGAGTCATCTTTTACTTATTTATTTGAACAGTCAGTCTACCTTCCACTTCTTATTTTTCAGGTTCTCAGTAAGGAATCAAAGACCAGTAATCAGCAAGGTACAGTGAATAGCCATGCATTTTTGTTAATTCCTTGTGACAAGTTATCAGTTACCAATATTTTACACCTCTGATACTCACCTCTTGGACCATGATATGTTGTCTTACACCTTGTAACAATTTCTGCTCGATTTTTTTTCCAGATGTCTGTGTGAATCTCATTCCCTGCAAAGACAATGGAGCTATTTGTATTCAGCAGTGTTCTCCCTCCTTCCATGGGGAGACAAGCTTTGTCTGTGAAGACAGAAAGTGGCAAATGGTCACAGATGCCTGTGCAAGCCTGGATGTTCAGTCCCTTTTTCAGGTGAGGTAACTACTATGCCACTACTTTGGCATATGCTCCTAATTCCTTGCAAAGACACCTCCTTCCTCCATACCTTTTAAATTTTGAGCAAAGGGAAGAAAATGTGCTCCTAAAACAGATTGTTGGGAACAGGCTTTGACTTCACCTTGAATCAAATGATGGGAAATAAATTTGGGAAATGCCTGTGTGGAAACAGTTCAGAAAAGAAGTTGCCTTGTTCACTTGGCTAGTGCTCCTCATATGGATCTAAACCAAGACAATACTCCACCAGGACCTGTAAGAATCAGGTGGTTCATGGTAAATTCTCCCCAGCTACAAAATAGAGAACTTTATTCAAGTCACTCCAAGAACAAGGCACAGCATTTAGTTCTTGCCCCTTCCTTCACGTGTGTTTTACAAACAAGACATTCTTCCCAAGTGAATTTTGGTCCCTGGTTTCAGGCCCTATGGCATGTTCTTTACACAACCCAGGACTGTAGCTCTTGCCTGGTTGTAGCTGTAGCTTCATTTTTGTTCTGTTCATTCATTTTCTCAAGTTTATTTTGGTATTTCCAGAGGATTTCTCAATGTGAACTCCTTCCAAGCTCTGGAGGACATGTTGCTGGAGGACGCCTTCATTTTCTAGGGGAGGGAAAGCCAGTGCATGGGAGGCCTGGAAAAGGAGGAAAATATTTAGGTGCTGATGAGGATGGGAAGAATAACTGCCAAGCTGATTTTTCATGCATCATCCCAGAGATTCTGTCTTCACCAGCCATTCCAGGAAACATTGCTGATATAGTGGAATTGCTAAAGAAGATTTCTCTGCTATTATCAGAGAATGTCAGCAGAGGGAAAATGCAGGTATTTACTCCTGTGGGCTTCAAGAGGTGTGAGTCTGAGGTTGCTGGAACATCTGTATGTGATTTTGTCCTTAGAGCCACTGTCCAATGAAATGGTGGTGGCAAGTCACGTGGAGAACACCTGGAAGGAGTTTCTGGAGAGGGCTGTTTTGTTATTCACATATGGTGAAAATACTTTGTGGAGTTCACTGCTGTTGTAGACATGGGAGAGGAGTGCAAGGAAGGATTTGGTTTTCAAGTATGACACTGTAGGGAGGGCAGCCCTGGGGTGCTGACCTGCAGCTGGGTTGTGATGTACAATGCAAACTGGGACCTTTCCCTGATGAACTCAGAAAATGAACGTGTGGGGAAAGAAATGTAGGGAGGGTGAGGTAAACAGACCTGCATAATGGCTCAACATCTGGACTAGAACTTAGGTGTCCTGATTTTTGCTTTACATTTGCTTTTCCAATCACCTTTTGAGGACTATGGGAAAAGGATAAGGCAGATTTGGTAGTGATCATCCCAATGAGATGTTTGGGTTTGATTGGGATGGGTCATAAGAACCTGTTTATTTTCAAAGAGGAATATTCCCTTTATAGAAAGCACTCTTGAATTCCATGAGCCTTTCTGGAGGCTCTGCAGTGGGATAATAGGTGGTTTCTTTTAACATGAAAAATAACTTACTGTCTTCTCCTGTGTTCCAGAGTTACATCAGGATAGCAAACCATATTCTGAACAGCTCTGTCATTTCCAGCTGGGCTTTTGTAAAGGACAGAAATGCAAGTGCAGTATTACTGGACTCAGTGAATTTATTTGCTGGGAAACTTCTTCTGAGGAACGGGTCGGAAAGTATACAGGAGCACTTCATCTCTACCAAAGGCTACAGCATACATAAAAATACTTCAGGGAAGAGCTTTGATTTTTCAATGGAGTTCAATAACACCGGCAATATCACTGGGCACGTGGTCATTCCAGAAGAAGAGCTGTTGAAGTTACCCAAAGCTTCCAAAGCCATCAGCATCGCGTTCCCAACGCTTGGAGCCATTCTAGAAACCAACCGGCTGCGCCCGGGCTGCGTGAATGGAATGGTCTTGTCGGTGTCTCTGCCAGAAGAGCTCAGGCACGTTTGGCTCACCTTTGAAAAGATCCACAAAGGGGACAACGTCCAGGCTCAGTGTGTTGGGTGGCACTCTACTGAAAGGCGATGGGACGACAGGGCCTGCAAAACTCAGTCTGCCGACTGGAGCAGCGTCGTTTGCCTCTGCGGGCACCGCCGGAGGACGTTCAAGTCCTTCTCCATCCTCATGTCCCCCGGCGCGCCGCGAGGCGCCGCGCCGGCTTACGTCACGCGCGTGGGGCTGGGCCTGTCCCTGCTCAGCCTCCTGCTCTGCCTCCTCATCGAGGCTCTGGTCTGGCACCACGTCACCAAAACCGAAATCACCTACATGCGCCATTTCTGCTTGGTCAACATCGCGGCGGCGCTCCTCCTGGCCGATGTTCTGTTCATCTTGGCAGCTGTCGTGCACGACACAGCCCTCAACTACCAGCTGTGTGTGGCAGCTGCTTTTTTCCTTCACTTTTTCTATCTTGCCTTGTTTTTTTGGATGTTCACCCTGGGCCTCTTGATTCTTTATGGGTTGTTATTGATTTTTTTTAAGATAACGAGGTCTGTGTTCATAGCTACAGCATTCTCCATTGGATACGGATGTCCCTTGGTCATATCTATCCTCACTGTCGCCATTACTGAACCAAAAAATGGATATTTAAGGAGTGGGGCCTGCTGGCTCAATTGGTATGAGACAAAAGCCCTTTTGGCCTTTGTCGTGCCCGCTCTGAGCATCATTGTCGTGAATGTGGTGGTGGTGATCGTGGTCGTGGTGAAGACTGGGAGATCCTCCACTGGGGAAGGCTGCAAGTCACAAGATTTGAGCAACGTGATCCGAATCAGCAAAAACGTGGCACTTCTGACACCTCTTCTGGGTCTCACCTGGGGGTTTGGATTAGCAACGGTTGTTGACAGTCACTCTCTGGCCTTCCACGTTACCTTTGCGCTACTGAACGCCTTCCAGGTGAGCTCTGCCTGTTGCCCAGACAGGTGGTGGAGGCCCCATCCCTGGGGACATTCAAGATCAGGCTGGATGAAGCTCTGAGTAGCTTGAACTAGTTGGAGATGTCCCTGCTTATGGTGGGGGGGTTGGACTAGATGACTTTTAGAGGTCCCTTCCAGCCCAGACATTCTGTGATTCTCTATGTGAATAGAGCTTGTGCCCAGACTTTGCTGAATTTGGGAAAAGGCAGAATATCTGACAGGGGCTGGCAGCTCCAAACAGGATCCAAGCTTTCCTTTCAGCTTAATCATTTTACACAGTGTGTGCTCCAGGCATCCTGCACGGACATAAATGCAGATGGGTGATAGAACAAACTAATTGGTGTAAAATGTTACGAAGAATTAAGGTGATGAATTTGTTAAACAGAATAGATACTGGTTAATGTCCAGTAAGTGCAAAGATGTCTCATCCTTAGCACTTAACACAGAAAATTCTTCCTTGCCATTGAAGATGGTTTTGTTTAGCTCATCAATACACACTCACCCAATGTTACTTGACACACTGTCATAGACCCAGCCTGCCTCAGCTCTTTTTGGCTAATCCTGCTAGCAAGTGGGCTGAGAAAGTATGGCTGGCATGTGACCCATCAGTCCAGTTGGTAATGAGAATTGCCACAGGTTATACATCCATAGCTGACATTCCTGGAGAACCTGCCTAACCTGGGTGGACAAACCCTTTTTGTGTATTGCTGGTGTCTGAGTCCTAGGTGCTGAGATCTATCCTTAAGGAGATGACATCTAGAAACATCATGTTATGCTGTTTTTGCTAACTGGTTTTGCAATTTTTTTAGGGATTCTTCATCCTGTTGTTTGGGACACTTCTGGACAGAAAGGTACACTGGTCACTTTGGCATTTATTCTGGTTTCTATGAACCTTTTCCATACTTTGATTGTTCCCTTCAATACATATCTATATTTTTAAATCTACAGACAAGAGAAGCCTTAAGGATGAACTACCTGTCATCAAAGCAGAAGTGTAGTCTAGCAAAGGTAAATCTTTATGGTGTTTTCTCCTCCTCTTAAAGGCTTACATTACCAGCCATTTATCTGTACATTTGTTTGTACATGGAAAGAATGGAACCATCCACTAAAATTTACCTAGCTTAACATGTTTTTTCTGAAGGCAAGTGCTTGCAGAAGGAAATACAAGTATCTCAAAAGTAATATTGAGGATATTCATGTTCTTAATATTAGAAGTGACAATTTGTAGATTTTTGACTGCTCCATAACCTACAGCTGCTGTTAGAGTTTAAAATGGTATTTTGTTCTAATCTCTTAGCCTATAGATACTAAAGCCCTTTAGACAGAGAATGCCTCTGACTTTTTTTCCCCCATCTATAACAGACCTACTTTAAGGTTAGCAAGTAAGGAACAGAATTAAGAGCTCCAAGCCCCAGTGTGGTGATCTGTTTGCTGCCTTCACAAAAATATGGATCTGGATGACAGGATAGCAGAGGTTTGTTCTTCCAGCTGGATGGCAGCTGAAGATGGAAAGCACTCTGAGCCCAGGCAGTGGTTTTGGTGCTAACCAATGTTGTGTACTCATAAGAGCTTGAGGGTTTTTTTTCAAACAAATTCATTAAAAGGAAATGTTTGAAGCTTAAGGAAACAACTGCATTTCAGCAGCTTCCTAGGAAAACACTGGCAGAGTTGATGTGTTGAAACCACTGAGTTAGTGTTTCCTACCTCTGCTGGAAAACTTTTGTCTGCTGGTTGTTAGATGTCTTTTGGTGCCAAGGTTTTGTTTCACACTATATTTAGAAAAGGGAATCCCCTGGAGCTGTCTCACAAGAATCACCTGCAGTGCTCCTGCTCTCTGCCAAAAGAAACTGTCTCAGTTCAGTCTGGACTAGAAATAAAGTTATTTCCTCACTTTTCTTCCTTCCACTTATTAATCAGTCCTGATTCTAATACTGAAAGCTGCAGAGTGTCTTGGTGTTGGTGTGTCCAAATGTAAGGAAACTGCCTCCCTTCTGCTGTCAGCATTACCCAGTGTGCTGATCTGGTGCAAGAAAGGCTGCATGGTTGTGCAGCTTCTGACTCCTCTTCTCTGCATCCTTCCTCTCCAGTGCAGTCTTCAGTTGCATCCAGCAACATAATGGGTTAAGTTTGAATGGATTGTAGAAGATCCTCTCTTTGGAAAAAAAACAACCACTAAAAACCCCAAAACAAGTAACAAACCAAACCCCAAAAACAAATGGATTGTAGAAGGTCCTCTCTTTGGAAAAAAAAAACCAACCACTAAAAACCCCATAACAAGTAACAAACCAAACCCCAAAAA